TGTTCTGTAGAGGGGGCGGGGGGGTAGACGGGTTTCGACAAGACTCGCGCGTTTGAACGCAAGTTCTCTTCATGAGCTGATGCTTTGTAGATTAAACAGCCGGGGGGGTTGGGGAGGGCCCTGCACGTTGGGAAGCTCCCTCTGCCACCCTTTCCAGGTGTGTCAGAATATGTCCACACGGTGGTTTCTCTTGCTCGCAAAGGAAGCAAATTTTCGCACGCTGCGCGGAAGCAGGGCAGTCCTTCGGATGATTAGGGCGAGAGCCCCGCCAAGGCTTCGCTTCTTCCGAGCACAGAACGCACGGCGTGTGCCTCCCCTGGCTGCTGCCCCATTTTGTCTTGTCCCAGAGTGGAGAAAAGAGATTTGAAAGTGGCATCGTGGGATATGACGCGCCACACACAGTTGGACACGAGCCAGGAAGCAACGCGCCCTGAATCCGAGCCTTCTGTGGTGCATTTGTCAATGAGGCGTCGGCGCAAGTCTTGAGCGCACGTCAAGCTGAAGATCTCCTCCATGAGTGCGGCTCAAGCGATTCCGTGAACCCAGCAAAGCACAAGGACTTCCCTGGTGTATGAACAGGCTTGTCGTCTCCTGGGCACACAGGTTCTGCTTTTCCGGCATGCCTTAGCCAGAACGACGTTGACCAAGGTATTGTCGCAGTGCAGCTTCTTGTGTTGCCGCCTGAAGTTCACCGTCTGGGCTTTGAGCATGTACTTTGGGCCTTTCTGTGGGAACCAAGACCATGCCGGCGTCATTGTGCCTTTGCAGGTACGCAAGTGCGGCATTGTCCGAGTCGATCCACTCACGAAGCTGCGGCCGTGCGTGGGTCACAGTTACTCAGGTCCTCAAGATAAATACTCACGAAAAAACTGTTGTCGCATAGTCCGGAACAGTCCAACCCTCGCACAGGGGGGGGGGGGGGGGGGGGGGGGGGGGCAGGGGGGGGAGGGGGGGGGGGGGGGGGGGGGGGGGGGGGGGGGGGGGGGAGCCCCCCTGCAAACACGCAACCCCCGCTCCCCCGTTTGCAGACACAATGCTCGCATGACCGGTTCAAATGAATTCATATGCTTTCATGCAAGTCCTCATCATGGACTCATTTTCTTGAAATGGAAAAATGAAAGGGGGCTGAGGGGGGGGGCGTAGCCAACACGATGCTCGCATGACGGTTTCGAGAGGATGCAAAGACCCTAAACCCGAAACAAAAAACCCTAAAGCCTCAACCCTAAACCCATTTTGGGTTCCCGAGCTGATGGTTTCTGGCCTGGGTTTTAGGGATTGAGGGTTAGGGGTTAGGATTTAGGTTTTGTTCACTCTAACTCTAAACAAGACCCCTTATCTCCGTTTGAGGTGTTGAGAGTTTAGGGGCTTTGAGGCTCAGGGTTTTCAGGGTTTGGGGCTTGGAGCTTGGGAGCGTTTGCTGCTGAATTTGGCTGTTCAGAGCACCATCCGTGGACATAGTGCAGTAATGACCCCCAAAACACCTCAGCACCAGTCTAGAATCTGCCCTGGCGCATCCCGAACGTTAAGCCCCCTACCAAGAACCCTTCAATTTCCGACATTTTCTCGAAATCCCCTAAAACCCAAGACCCGAACCCCGAACCCAAAACCCTGAACCCTGCGACCCTACCCCCCGAACCCCCACTCCAGGCTCATCCAAACTCCAAAGTCAAGCCGCTGCTGTTGATGCCGCACGCCGCTCCTCAGCTGGTTTTGGGCTTCAAAGTTTAGGGTTTAGGGTTTAGGGTTTAGGGTTTAGGGTTTAGGGTTAAGGGTTTCGGGTTTACAAAACAGGCGTAGCCCCAATAGAGATCCCCAAATAACAGGATCCCCGTACAACAAGGACCGCGGTAAGGCGCCCCCGAACTTCGGAAACCTCAAACTGGTTTTGGGCTTCAAAGAGTTTAGGGAGCCTAGGCCTCAGGGCTTCGGAATAGGGGTTAGGGTTTAGGGTTTAGGGTTTAGGGTTTAGGGTTTAGGGTTTAGGGTTTAGGGTTTAGGGTTTAGGGTTTAGGGTTTAGGGTTTAGGGTTTAGGGTTTAGGGTTTAGGGTTTAGGGTTTAGGGTTTAGGTTTAGGGTTTAGGGTTTGGGGTTTAGGGAGCTTAGGGTTCAGGGTTCAGGGTTGAGGGCTTCGGGTTTCGGTGTTAGGGGTTCGGGTTAGGAGAGAGATGATCCCGATTTGGACCCGAAGCCGTGGTTATGCTTAGAGGCCGACTGCTTAGGGAGAAGCTATGCGCCAGCCTTCGGGCTTCGGGCTTCGGGGGTTTAGGGTTTAGGGTTTAGGGTTTAGGGTTTAGGGTTTAGGGTTTAGGGTTTAGGGTTTAGGGTTTAGGGTTTAGGGTTTAGGGTTTAGGCTTCTTCCTTGCTGTCAAGCGCTGAAGTATGAGAGCTAGAAGAAGCTAGCGAATATTGCAGGGCTAAAGGTATGGGCCCCAAAGATGATGTCGCCCCCCCCCACGTCAAAGTGAACCAGATCAGGTCAGACTTGACAAAAGCAGAAAGGAAAAGTCTACAAAAAAATGCAGGCCATATGACACAAAGAACATCACGTCAAGAATGTAAACGGAAGTCGATTATAGACAAGGGGAGAGAACCGCCGATTGATCTTGATAGGCGGACAGAGTTGCAACCCTAAACCCTAAACCCTAAACCCCAAACCCTAAACCCTAAACCCTGAACACAGTATTCTCTCAGTCATAGAAGAGCCATCAGAAGCAAGGTGTCCCAGGCGTCCGCACCCACCTCTTTATCTGCACGCCACACCACGCCGTCTGTCACCTTAAGCCTAAGCCCTCCCAACCCTAAACCCCTAACCCTACACCCCAAAACCCAAAACCCTGAACCGTAAACCCTAAACCCTAAACCCTAAACCCTAAACCCTAAACCCTAAACCCTAAACCCTAAACCCAACTTCAACCTCCCGAAGCCCAAATGGGGCTCCTGCCCTGGGGCTTCCTGTACAGCGGCACCTGAAGCATGCCTGAGGCATGGACTTCTCAGCGCCTGTTAAACACTGACAGCTCCGAAACCGGAGGGGACCAGGCGCCATTTTCTGGAATCACACACAAGTATACGACCCATCTCTCGCGAGGGTTAAGGGCTTAGGGTTTTAGGGTTTAAGGTGCTCTGAAACCCTAAGCCCTAAACCCTAAACCCTAAACCTGAGCAGGCCCCCGATCGCGGAGACTGCGTGGGTGGCGGGGAGGCGCCAACAGAGATTCCGGTTCAGGGCCGCGTGAGGTCTGAAGGCTCTGGGTTCAGGGTGTGAAGGGTTTGGGGCTAGGGTTTAGGATGGTGTGGGGTTTAGGGTTTAGGGTTTAGGGTTTAGGGTTTAGGATTTAGGGTTTAGGGTTTAGGGTTTAGGGTTTAGGGTTTAGGGTTTAGGGTTTAGGGTTTAGGGTTTAGGGTTTAGGGTTTAGGGTTTAGGGCTAGGGTTTAGGGGCTTAGGAGTTTAGGGATCCAGGGTTTGCTGAGGGTTGCTGGACGTAGGGTTTCGGGGTTTTGGCTTCCCTCCCAGCGTTGCCCACGCAGGCCATCGAACTACGCGCACAAATGCAGACCTCACTGGTGCTTTCGGGGCCGTTTAGGGTTTAGGGTTTATTGAAATCATTAAGGGTTCAGGTCCGGGGAAAGTTTCGAGGAAAGTTTCGAGAAGTTTCGTTTTTTGGATTTTCTTAATAATTTCAAGTTACAGGGGGCTTGAGGGTTTAGGGTTTAGGGTTTAGGGTCTTGGGGGATTCTCGAACTTAGGGGGTACCCTTTTTTTTGGGGGGGGGGTCCTTTTTCAGGGGGATTCCATTCTATTTGGGGGTATAAAAGTATATAAAGGGGTACCCTATTTTACGGGAAATACCCATTTTGGGCTGTTCCCCCCTTATGCTACCAGTCCTTAATAAAGATTATCATTGCGGGTGCTGTAATCCCTAGTAAGGACTGTTAGTATAAGGGGGATCATCCCAAAACATCGAGCTATATTTTTCATTAGCAAGCCGTGTCCCCCAACCTCACTCTGTCATGGAGCGGTCCATCACACCCTCGACCCACTCAATCGGCCCCAAGAAACGCGGTCACCGCGGCACCAATTCCGAAGCAACCACGTCAAAACAAAAAAGAGGGGGCAGGGTGAACCAACAAATCACAATCACTCTGGAGTTTTCAGGCTCAAGCAGCCCAAAAAACCCTAAACCATAAACCCTAAACCCCAAAACCCTAAACCCTAATCCCTAAATCCTATTCTTTTTGCTGAACCTCATGTTTTTTGCTTTCGGGTCGCAAGAGTAACAAAGTGGCGACTTTGGCATCCTCGCACAGCCTCATGTGTTTTGATTTGGGGCACGAGCAGCCAAAACGGTCTGGGGTTTAGGGTTTAGGGTGTAGGGTTTGGGGTGTAGGGTTTAGGGTTTAGGGTTTAGGGTTTAGGGTTTAGGGTTTAGGGTTTAGGGTTTAGGGTTTAGGGTTTAGGGTTTGGGGTGTAGGGTTTAGGGTTTAGGGTTTGGGGTTTAGGGTTTAGGGTATAGGGTTTAGGGTCAGTTTGTTAACCTCATGTTTCTTGTTTTCCCCCACCCCACCCTCGTACCGGGCAGGAACAGCGAAAAAAACACACTAATCTTGTTAAGCTCATGTTTCTTGTTTGGGGCGCGAGCAGCCAAAAACCAAACAAAATTTTGTTAACCTCATGTTTCTTGTTTTCCAACAGGCCCGAGACACTCCGTAACAAAGTGGCGGGTGGCATCCTCGTACAACCGCATGAGTGTGTTAACCTCATGACCTCATGTCTTTTTGTTCTCCCCCACCCCACCACCCTCGAACTACTCAAGATGAGAAAGAGTAAGGGGTGGGGGGGGGGGGTGTCATGTACTCCTACAGGGATGGTATGCGGTAGACATGGGGGGGTTTGCCTAAAGCTCCACTCCTCTGCCGCCGGTTCTGCACCAGTCAGGGACATCACCTAACTAAAGCTTCAGGAACTCAAGAACTCACAAGTGTACTACGATTCGTCATGTCTAGACGTTCGCGCCCAGGCCATAGCTCTTGCGGCATGTGGGACAGCATCTGGCGGATGCGGACAAGGAGACGGACCAACACGCGATGCACTCCTCGTGGAAGACATGACCACAAGGCAGCAAAGCGAGTTGGCTGGAGGGCTGGAAGTCCTCCAGACAGCAGAGGCACG